CCTCGGGTGTTTTAGTAGCAGCCTGGCCCGGGCTGCCCTGCTCAGAGCTGGCGGGGTCAGTGCCGGGCTGTGGGCCCTCCCGGGGTCCCCGTGTGAGGGACTGACTCGGACCCCGAGGGCGGTCCCCAGCGCCCCTGCCAGGATTTGAGCTTTGACCTCTTCCTGAACACGCTGTCCCCAACGACCGGATCGGGCCCTGGCAGTGGCGGGCGCATGTGCCCTGTGGGCAGGAAGCCATGTGCTCACGTGGGCCTAGAGACACGTGGGGCCTGAGCAGGGGCACCAGCCTGGGGACTGCGTGGCCCGCGAGACCGTGTCCAGTACGGCGCCTCTGCCGTCTTCCTGGATCTCGCGTCCCGGGGTGGGGTCTTCCCTCTGGTCACCGTGCGTGTGGGTCTCATCCCCAGGGCTGTGCAGGGCACAGTGTTGTGCCCATGGCGTGTCCTGAGGCCGGGGCGAAGGTATATGTGCAGCGTCCCCCCATGCACGCCTCCTTGGTGACAGCACACGTGACTCCCCAGCCTGGCACAGTTTCCCAGTGAGAAGCTCCCCCACGTGCCGTCCTGCTGGGATCGGGGTGCACACGCCGGGCGAGGTCTGGAAAGCCCAGCGGTCGTGGGGTCCGGCTCCTTGGCCACCAGGCCCGGGACCTACCTGCCTGTCGGTGCTGAAGCCCAGCTGCAGGCAGGCCTGCTTCCGGACGGCGGGCGGCCTAGTGGCCTAGTGCCCAGGCCGGCCCTCTCCCCAGGGTGGGTGGGAGGCCCCTCGCGGGCGCCATGTCAGCTGGGACCAAGACAGCGGTCACCAGGAAGAGGGGCTGCCTGAGCCCCGACCGCAGTGCCACGCGTGGGGCTCGGCCCGAGACTGTCCCTTCTCTTCTAGGACAAGCACCACGATGCTGCTCACGAGATCATCGAGACCATCCGGTGGGTCCCTGCCAGCCGGCACACCCGCGGGGAGGGAGGTGGTGTCCGTCGGCTTCTGCCTGTGTTCTGCTCGGGAGCGGGCCGCGGCCACACACTCCTGGCCGCCCCGAGCCTGCGAGGCTGCGGCCTGTGCTCGGGTGCCGCGGGGCTGCTCTGTCGCGGCTGCCTGTTCTTTTACTTGTTTAGAAGTTGCTATTTATTGATTTGTTTGAACTTGACTAGAGCGGACAGAGGAAGTGAGCGAAGGGGAGAGGGAGAGGGAGAGGGGAGTGAGAAAGGAAGCCGCGGGCCTGGGACTCAGCTGTGATTGGCCGGGTGGGAGTCCAGCGCCCTCCACCACCACGCCACCTGCTGGCTCCCTCTTTCTTTTTTAGAGAGGTCTCTGTATGGGGTGGGCTTGCTGGAGAAAGAGAGGAAAAGCGAGAAATCACCCTGGGGTGGGCACACCACAGTCCCTGCTCATCCTCCTGGGACTGGGGTGGCCACACCACAGTCCCTGCTCATCCTCCTGGGACCTTGGGTACACACGCACACACACCCGGCCTGCCTCCAGCCGGGCTGGGACGAGCTGGGACGAGCTGTGCCGACCATGCGGGAGTCCAGCAGCGCAGCCGTCTTGCCACCTGCTGGTCCCTGACACCTGACCTGGGGTCTTGGCTCTGGTGTCATGGCCCTGGCGCTGCCCTGTGAGGCGTGAGCGCCCTGCCAGGGTGTGCGTAGGTCTTCGTGAGCGTGCCGGATCTCGCCAGCAACCTCTGGCCTGGGGTCCACGTGGTGGGGGACCCCATGAGGCACCGGCTTCTCAAGCGTCCCGCGTCAGTGTTCACAGTCTGTGACTCCGGGAGCCTGGTTACCTCGTGGGGCTCGCAGACGGACTGGGACCTGGCGGCCAAGATGCCCCCCGGTCCTGACACGTAGGCAGTAGTGCATGCCGGGGCTGCGGTGGCGGCTCCTGGGGTCTGCCCCGTGCTCCTGCCTCCAAACCTGCCCCCAGCTCTTTTTCCTTGGAGAGATTCTTTTTGCAAAGGGTGCACGCACTCACCAAAGACAGAAAGAGAGAAGTCACCCCAGGGGGAAGGCCACGCCATCCCTTCTTCTCCTGGGATCTTGCACGCTCGCACACGCACCGCATGAGTTTCAAGCCACCGGGTCAGGGACTCGAACCACGGCCGGCCATGTGGGCGGCCAGTGACGTAACCACTACGCCACCTGCTGGCCCCCAGTGTCCTCTGACCTTTGCGTGTTTGTGAAGAAGCTCCGTTGATCAACGACTCCGTTGGGGTCGTTGATCCCTAAATGATGCTTCCCGGGTCTTTCCTCTGAGCCCCTCCGGCTCTGGCTCAGCTCGCTGGTGTCCCTGACCCCGTGCCGGCAGTTCCTTCTGCTCCTGAGAGCCAGCGCCGTGCCTCCCGGCCGAGGCGCTGCTGCTCCGTGAGCTTCCTCGCCTGCGTGGGGCCGTGGCTCCCGAGGCTTCCCCCCGTGGACCTGGAGCTGGGGCCAGAGCTGGAGCCCAGTGATGGGGTGTCCCACCCGCTCCTGGCGGCTCCTGTGCAGGGGCCGGGGGAGGACACAGTGCGGGCGGCGCCACTGCGGCAGAGTCCTGGGTGCAGGCTCGCCCGGTGGCTTCCAGCAGGCCTGCGTGCCGGTGGCCTCCGCCGGGCCGTGCGCACTCCCAGGACGCAGAGCCAGACATGTCCCGTCTGCTTTCCTCCCCAGGTGGGTCTGCGAGGAGATCCCGGATCTTAAACTCGCCATGGAGAACTACGTCCTGATCGACTACGACACCAAGAGGTGAGCGGTGCCGGCCACGCCGCGGCCGCCTCAGCCAGGGCCGCCCCGGGCCTTGGTGGTCCAGAGTGCCCGACCGCAGCGCCTCCCGTGGGCGGTGCTCTCCGTGGCCGGCAGGCTGGCCGGGAAGCAGTGCGTGCTATGACGAGCGTCCTGGCTGCCGCTCTGGCCGGCTCTGTCTGTGTGTTGGCTGTGTCCGGCTATCTCCTCTGGACACCTCCTCTGGCTCAGGAGACCCTGGGCTGGAGCGAGGCGGGGCCCCAGGTGCGGCCTCCGTCTCTGTCTCGTCCCTGACAGAGGAGCACACGCAGGCTCAGCTGTGCGCGGGGCCTGAGCTCCCCCCAGGGCCAGCCATCCTGCATGGGAGCGGGCCGTGGGCCCGGGGCAGCCTGCAGCTTCCCTGTCCAGGCCCAATGCGCCCAGGCCCGCCGCCCCAGCCCCAGCGGGAGGTGCAGGGGGACTCCTCCGCCCTCGGCCTGCGTGTCTGGTGTCAGAAATCCCATCTGTTCCCTGGTCTCAGGCCCTCCCCACTCCATGGTCTGGTCCTGGTGAGGGTCAGACTGTCCCCCTGGCCTGCAGCACTGGGGCCTGGAGGCCGTAGCTCTAAGGGGACATCTTTCGGGGCTGCCCGCTGTCCTGGACCCCAGCCTGGTCCCCTGCCCGTGTCTGCAGGTGTGCTGCAGAGCAGGGGTGCCCACCACACTGGCGGGCTCGTCTGGCCGGGGAGACAGCAGGGACAGCCAGCACCAGGTGGGGCTGGACGCCACTCCCACAGCCCTGCGCTGCAGCCCGGAGCCGGCCCGTCGGCCCCAGGGTTTCTGATCCCACCGTCCCGATGCGGTCCTCGCGGTCAGCACAGAGCCAGACGCCCACCGCCTACCGCCCAGGAAGCCCAAGGGGTGGGGCCTGGCAGGGACAGACACGAGCACACGTTGAGCCTTCCTTGGGCTCTGCTGGCACCGACCGCGTCTTCCTGTGTGACCCGGGGGCCCGTGGGCGCGCTCTGACGAGGCCTGTGCCCATGCTGTCTGTCCTTTCCTTCCTGGCCCCGGCCCGTGTGTGGGCTTAGAAAGGGTTGGAGCCAGCACAAGGCCACGTCCTGGACCAGAGGCTTGGAGATCCCCCTTCCCTGCGCCTGTCCCTCCGGGGTGCCAACGTACCCTAGAGCAGGACTAGGGCAGGGTCTCAGAGGCCTGCCCGAGCCGCCTGGTGCCAGCGTGCCTGGCCAGGCGTGTGCTGGGCGTGGCCTCCAGGCCCAGCTCCGGGGTCGTGCCACCCCCCAGGAGCCCATCTTCTTGGGCGGGCCAGTGTTGTGAGTGGGCGAGAGTCCCGAGGGCCTGCTCGGAGGAGAGGCAGCCCTG